TTTTTTTTTTTTTTAATTGGAACTTCGCCGGCCATGGCTGTGGTGAACACTGGATTTTTGCACGAAATCCCCACAGGCGGCACCAAAATGATACGCAAAAGACCTCAAACCAGATGAAATCGGTCTGAACTCGAGCTTCCTCGTCGGTAGATCGCCTGCGAACCTGCAAGAACTCTCGAATCAGAGGGGTTTTTGGGTGTCGTCCTCTTTTTACTGACTCTTGGACTTACGTTGACGGTGGTTGACCACTAACGACATTCCTGCTGTCTTGTTCAACCAGTCGGTTCACTTGGTTGGATCGGCTAGTTCATTGGGTCTATTCTACCAAGGTTTGATAGCCCATATCAGTAATAATGACTTAGGTATTGAAAAAGAACCTGATCACCCTTATATACTAGGGTGTCTTGATGCGCAAGAGAGTCCTAGCTAGGAAAGAGATCTTATCGTATCTACTTTCTTAGCTTACCACGTCTTTAGCATGTGAGACTCCTTAACAAGATATACCTTCTATCTTTGAAAGATCGTATACCCGCATTCCATGCGACTCTTAGGTCTTTGAGATCTCAAAAACAACCTCTCCACATATATGCCATAAGCTACAACTAGGTCGTAGCCATGACCACCACTTCACGACATCCGTATCATAAGGTCACATTATGTATCCGAGCTATCGTGGTTTTCTGACCACCGAGCTCCTTGCATAAGTCAACCCGTACCTTGAGCCTAGAGGTGGCCACGAGCTGTTCGGTTTGCCGACCCGGCCTGGACACGGCTCAGACCCAATCCAGACTCAGCTTAGACCCGACCCAGTCAAGCCCGTTGACCAGAAGTTTGGGCTTGACCTGGATTTTAACTAGGCCAATTTAGGTTCCTGCTTTTCTCGACCTTGGCCCAGCCCAAGCCGGCTCGAGAAATCAACATAGATTTTTTTTATTGGACAGGTCCCGAATTCGGGTCGTCGACTCATGTACCCAGCTTGGGTCTAGGTAAGGGCCGATTCAGAGCCAGTGTTGTCGAGCTCGAAAGCCCGCTGCGGGGTCGTGATTTGTCCACCTCTACTTGAGCTGCCTAAGCGAGCTCCTTGACAAGGTCCCATATTGAGCACGAGCTAACGCTCCTTGGACTGGCTATACCCGAGCTAACTACTCAGACCGGTCGATTAAGGCATCATCATGAGGAAAAGATACCTTGCATGTAGGGCTGTCAAAACAGCCTGTAGGCCGGCCCGCCCCGCTCTGTAAAAGGGGCGGATTGGACCTTAATTTTCCAGGCCCGCCAGGGAGCAGACTTACATGGGCTGGCCTGCGCGGGCCACAGGTTGAGGCGGGGCGGGCTAACTCGCGGGCCGACTCGCTTAATTAAAAAAAAAAAATCTATGAAAGTTGTAGCTGTATGCAACTCAGCACCAAGGGTTGCAGATCGATGAGTCTGTTATTTCTTTCTTTATAAGAGTATCAGGGCTATGTTAGGCGCTTAACCAACAACATATCCTCCACCAAGTCTCTTCATCCCGTCCGTCCCCATTAAAAAATCAGAAATTGAGAAACCCTTAAATTGAAGCTCACTTCCATCCCATCTCGGAACTCCACCTTCGAGTCTCCGACCTCTACCTCCACTTCCATCCACGTATTTGGTTGCTGATTTTCTCGTCGAACCACGAAGTCGGGTTGACGATTTTCCAGTTGAAGCTTTACGGCGCCTGATCGAAAAATCTGTTTTTACGTACTTTCAATCCTCTCGTATTTCCAATGAAGCTCTACGACATTTGTTTGCCTAGTTGCAGCTCCCAGTCGGCTGTTGGCCTCGTTGATTTGCCCAGCGGCAGGAGGCAGACCCACGAGGGGTCTGCGATGCTTCCCATGCGGCAAGCTGGGCCACCGACATGCGGCTTTCCCATAGCCCAACGGCTCTTGCACGCTTCTCGCGAATGATAGCGACCGCCAGGAGTGTGACGGTCCTCTAGTGTTCGACAAAGAGTCATCTCTAGAGAAGGTGCACGTACACGATGATGTTGGTATGAAGCTTCTTCTTCGTCGATCATTTTTGGCATTCGCGTTTCCTTTGTCACTTGGAGATGATTCTCAACCCACTTTTAATGCTTTTCAAATAAATCTAGCACTGTAGAACATGTTTCCACATCTGACCTTGAAGAACGAAGAGACAACTCTAATGATTACAAATCTAGAGGGTCTTGCAGCCTGTTCTCTCTCGCTCTCGCTCTAGGCTTGGACTCATCAACTGGCCAAGCATATTTCAACACTTTGTTTAAGGATGATGACGTGAGTTGTTTTGTGTCTGGGGTGTCGCATTTGATGACGAAAACGCATGTGGATAGTCCGCCCAATAAGTAAGTTAAATGATTCAATAGTGGATGCGTTCGTTGTGGAGAAGCGAGTTGCGGATGCACGTCGTCACATCACGATTTAGAGCTAGGCGGTTATGTGTGGGCCCTATTGATGCCAGATGGATTTTATGCACGTGCGTATACCAAGTTGTCGGCCCGTAAAATCGTTCTGGATTGTGATTGTATTGACGCTGGATGGATTTTATGCACGTGCGTATACCAAGTTATCGGCTCGTAAAACCGTTTCGGTTGATATTGTGAAGAAGAATGATTCAAATGCGTACCATCTCTGTTGATTTGCCTTCCCACATTCATACCTCAGGCATTGTCCAGATGACGACGCTATTTTGGATGACACGAGATTTAGTCGGGTTCGAGGGCGAATCTTTCTCAACCGGGGAATGATGATGACGATATTGCCCTTGCGTTCATAGATAAACACGATCGATTGGTTCCATTAGTCTAATTATTTATTTCTATTATTATTATTATTACTAGTATGTAACCCGTGCGATGCACGAGCTGTATTTACTTTGGAGAATATTAAAAATTAAAATGTATAAATAAATAAAAGAGTGATAAGTCGTAGGAAAATTATCAAACCATAAAATGTTCCTCATGCAAAAAAATATATTATTTAAATTTTCTTGTATACAACATTATTTGTTCAATAATTGAGCAACTTGTCGTCCCCACAAACTAATATTTTCAACACTTTTCTATTATTTACACGCGAAACAAACAACATAATTGTTCGTGACTAAAAATAGATTTCTTTA